AATGTTCATACGGGAATTTCTTCGTGTTCCACTTTTTGTACATACAATATGTTTTAACGACTGTTATGAACGCAATTACTTATGGATCGGCGCGCCGTGGCAACAAATGTGTTGTTCGTACTAGATAAACAAAAAGGTCGGGGTGAGGAAAGAGCACTACAGCTACATGAGTACTAGTTATACAGCGGGTGGTCCAAATGGAATGCAAGAAGAAATAAATACGTTCGGACCGGAGGGTTTATATCCCTGGCACTGTCATGAGTCCAGAGCTTTGGGCAAGGACGGATATCGACTCACGGATACGCATCCCTTGGCGGGCGGCCAAAATTTCTACTCCAAGCCCTTTGGCTTCCACCAGCGCTTTTATCTGCTCAACGATGAGAGTCTGATTCGGTCGGTCCGGTTCTCCGTCTAGGGTGTCTTTGCAGTGGATCACGAACACCCGCACCCCGGCCAAGGCACCACGCACGTCGCGGGGAGGCGACGCGAGCGAATTCATCCGCTGCTTCTTGCGAACTGGGCGCGGGGGCGTCTGTGCAGCGGTTCGAACCTTAACAACCTCGGTGGCCAATACCTCCAGCTCGTTGACGAAGTGCTCTGGCTTCAAGTGGCCATATAGCGCGTCATCGCTTCTCGAGGACGGCCACGAGCATTCCATAAATATGGTAGCGAGCATTGTGGGTATCTTCGGGGCGGCGTTGCGCCAAACGTTGATCGTCTGTGGGGACAGTGAGAGCGCGTCGGGCTCCAGATCCCCAAAGAAGAGGAATTCGTGTCCCGTGGGGTCGTAGCGAATAAAAAATGCGGACGAGTCGTAATTGCCTGCGACGTTGTGCCCGTGGCTCACAGGGAAACCGCGGACGGAGACGTCGGGAATGAGAGTTTCGTACGCGTCGTTCATGCCGAGGCTGGCACAAGACATGAGCAGCAGTCAGTATATAGAAACTTGCGCGCGACTTACGCGGTGTACAGAAGTTTGTGGTCGTCATCGTCTTCTTTCCAGGAAGCCAAGTTGGGCCATATGCGGTCGGCAAACACGCTTTCCAAGTCCGTGAGGGTCTGTCTCGCAGCATAGAGGCGTTTCCGTGGGCCACTCAGGGAACCAGCTGATATAACCAAGCCTAAAACGTGGTCGAGGTGGCCATGCGAGATGAGGAAACAACTGCCCCGTATATGAGCACCCTACTTGGCACGAGTACTGCAATCGACGAACCGCACGAACGAGTAGATCTCCGAGGCCGAGTAAGTCTTTGGACGCGCGGATGGCTGCTGGTCCGGGGAGTTGAAAAGACGAGGGTCGCGTTGAAGAAGTCTCTGGAGGGCGCCGAGACCCGAACCTGCCTCCAAGGCAACTATGCCATCCTCCCAAGTAGCAGCAGACGGCTTGAACAAATATCTGTGCCACGTGGAATGTTAGAAGCGCGAAGAGACGCCGAGATTGAGTGAGACTTGCGCGCTCAAATTGGTCTCGTCTGGACCGCCCCCTTCTCCGACGACCACAAAATCAAACATTTTTTATCCTGCCGGTGCGCGTTGTTGTCGTTAAAAGGCCACTGAACCCAACGTCAAGTTCAGGGCAGTGTCCCTTTATCAGCCAGTGGTGTTGGAACTTGAAACGGCTGAAAGAGTTGGACGTGATTGACTGGTCGGACGCGAACAATACGCGCCGGCAGTTGACTGCAAGGATGCATTTTAAAATACAAAGGACCGTGCGCCGTGTCAATCTACTCATTGTGGGTCTTTACCAGTTACCGTTTGCTGACTAGCATACAATTTAACTAAGGTAGGCGGCAGACACATGCAACTTACGTTCCAAATCGGGACAAAATCCTAAAATAAATCGAAAACAAATGCCTCAAATAATGAGTGGGGACAATAGTCCTTATCGCTTCCCAACATTTTGTGCATAGGTATCTCAAGCATGTTAAAACAAAACCTGTTTACCCCAAAATGAGAAGTGAGTGAGGAGATACCTTCGCAAGGTCGCAATCAAACTGGCCTGATGAGTTTGATGTGGACTGACAAGACGACAAAATTTTGCATCTACATTTTTTTGGAGGCCAGAGTAAACTAATGGGGTCTCCCAAATGATAGCCAAGATGCATTTCCACAAAATGTTGCGGCTCGATAAGGCACATCTTGGCAGTCAATTATCTGGTGAATATTTTCGACCCATTTGTCCCGATTTGGAACGTAAGTTGCATGTGGCTGCCGCCTACCTTAGCACAAATGCAAATGCACGAACGAATCGAACAGTAATGCAGACACCCCATCAGCGGCGCGAATGTTGCATGAACTGCTGGTAAACGGGGACATGGAGAACGAATCAGATATTGGCAGCTCGACAAGGTGAGACTTGAAAAGCAAACTCAATCACACTCGAGATCAACCCAATTCTGGATCAAATGCCAGGTGTAAAGATTTCTTGTCGACTCAAATCAAAGCTCATCGCTAAACTTGTACATAATATGGTGAAGAGGACAACATTTGGTAGTCTTTGTGTGTCGCTGCAGTCCCTTGAATTTGTAAGCACCTGAAAGAAGCAAAGGAGATGAATTGAAGCCCCGAAGGGAATCTCAGCGGATGTACGCTTGTAAGCTAGCAGCATAGGTTGGGCGAAAGCCCGAAGGCTTTCCAGCACCGTCCTAAACCTCTAGACCTAGAACGAAATCCCAAGGAGAGCTGTGATACCCAAATACCAGTGTTGTAGTTAAGGTGTTAAGGGCTTAGTCTTAATAAGGGCTCAACCCTTATTAAGCTAAGGTCTTAATTTCAGGATGTATGTATCTGAAGCCCTTAATAACCCTTAACCGGCGCTGCTCCCGCCGTGGCGGGCCGCCGGCAATCAAAAAATGACTAATAAAATGGCAACCACATGGAAGTTGCTCTGGCCCGACTCCCTACTAAAGTATGCTGGTGGTGCTTTTTGGCGGGGTTATTGCGAACCCCAGTGCTCTCCCTACACGCAGATGCACTGTCTCATAAGAAACCTTATACATACATGGAGCGTCTTGCAGCCAAGCACAGTGACGAAGAGCTGGATGCTGGTGCTCAGGACTCGGAGTCAGGAGGGCTCTCGAGACGATTACAATGGATAATTGGGCACTTAAAACCAGATTCTCATGTTCTAGCGGCACTGGCCTTTTTTGGAAATGACCTTTAATATGACCCTTAATTTGGACACCCTTAATAAGCCTTAATTAAACTTAAGGTCTTAATCATGGAAAGCACCCTTAATAAGACCCTTAACTACAACACTGCCAAATACTAGGAGATGACGACGCATCCAGCTCTCCAAAGCGGATACCCAGAGTCTAGGAGGAAGAGCAGAACTGTGAGATGCCAGCTCGAAGTGGTGAGAGGGCGCATCATATTAGGAGGCACGGAGGCACTCGAGGAAGCATGTCGAGAAGCATGGCGGGAGTTGCGTCGCGTTTGGAGGCGTGTCGCATTGGCAGGCATGGCGAGGGGCACTCGAGGAAGCATGTCGGGACGCATGGTGGGAAGCATGTCGGGAAGCATGGTGGGAAACAGTCAGGAAGCATGTCGGAGCCGTGTCTGGAAGCATGTCGGAAGTATGACCGGAGGTGCGTCGCGGCGGGAGGCACAGCGGGAGGCGCATCACATCGGGAGGCACTGCGAGAGGCTCGAGGAAGCATGGTGGGAAGCATGTCGGGAAGCATGTCGGGAAGCATGGCAGGAAGTATGTCGGGAAGCATGGCGGGAAGCATGGCGGGGAATAACACGAGTTGTGGTGAAGCAGCCCATGTCGATCGAAGGCATAAAAGCATCTGACAAAAACACAATATATGTTAGTAGTGTCAGTGGTGTCAGTATGTCAGTATAACAGTAACGGTCAATAACGGTCGACGACAGTCAGTAACGGTCAGTAACAGTCAGTAACTCATTCGTGAAAGGTCAGTAATGGTTAATAGAGGTTAGTATAACGGTTAGTGGTTAATGTTAGTAAGGTTAGCAGGGTCAATAGAATTGAATACTGGAGATGAGTTAGTAGAACTGGATCCGGGGAGCCTGAGCCAAAGATGGTTGGATGGCTTGACTTTGATTACGGGAATGGGTGGATATCGATATAGCACCGAGAGCACTCCTACAAGGCCCGCTCCCGGCAGAGACACAAATGAGGGCATCGTCGACGCGCAGTACCACCAAACGAAAGCAGGGATTACGCGGGACATCCAAAATAATTGAAAAGTAGAAAAGAGGCTCAACAGTACACGCACGCCACCGACACGCTCGTTTGCTGAATGTAAAGAATCTGAAACAAAAGGTCGCGCAGCGCGTAGCGTGCCGGGGAGTAAAGCCTCCCCGGAAGTGCGCAGAGCTCGAAATCAGAGCGCCACAGCCTGTCTGTAGGCTGGGCCCCGACGCATAACCCGACAACCGCTGGCGGTCATTTCCCCGCGGCGTCGTGCTGCATGTGGAGCCGCGAACCGCAGCACACCCGGCGGGTTCGGCGGGCAATTTCTTAGGCCTGGTACACCGTCGCGCGAGGCATGTGCATGGAGGGCGTGGGAGGTGGAGCCTGAAGCCGCTGCTCTATAACTGTCCTGCAGATTCTTAGGCATGAGCGCATCCGAGTCACCGAGGTTGAGAAGGCAGATGCATGATCGTGTGAGCTCGTCGTGCCGCGTCCGAACCCTTGGCGCGTGAGAAGGGAATAACTGAGACGTGCCTGGATGTCCAGTCGAGGATTTTGGAATGAGAAACCCAGATATTAGGAGCAGGCGCGACGCATTCAACTTTCACAAATCTCGACAATCAATCCATTGTAATCATTCCACCTCAAAAGAAAAGAGAGCCGACGACTCAGCGGTCAGCTCGCGACGAGCACTTGAGGAAGATGACCGCGACATATTGGCGGGACGGAAGCGGAGCTGTCCCGTGACTTCCACTCGCACAAAGACTACACTAACAGTAACACAGTCTCAGTATAGACTACGATACATAAGGTCTGCTCTCGCTAAGCTCGACATTTAAAGCTCACTATGGCTTAGTGGTGGAGCGTGCGATTGCAAACGAACCTGAGCTCAGAGTATCGCGAAGTCCCGTGTTCGAACCATGGTAGCGTCTTTTTTTTTTGGCACCATCATACAAGAGTCAGTGCTCGTTGTCTTGTATGCCAACTAGGAATGGACGCCGTGGCATTTGAGCTCGACGTGAATGGTAAGTCAACAAGTTCGATACCTCCACCGCAGCTCTCAGCAAATAGGAACGTTTTCTACTCGGAAAAAGTACTCGCTATTGGAATGCTGACGGATCCATGCGTGAAAGAACGTCGATTTGTGTATCTCTGCACAAGGAAACCAAGTAATTGGCGCTGGCGGTGGGAGAGCACCGGAGCAATAGGTATGATCGGGGATGATGGGGGATGATCTGTCCCCGGGGGAATTCCCACGCCATGCAGTGAATTCCTTTCATGAAAATCTGTCAAATCCCCTGGACCAAAAACCGTCCAGTGAATTACCTGGACCGAAAGCCTTTTATTTCTTTCCATGAAAATCAATCCAGTACTTTGCCTTTATCGATTTCCCTCCATGTAATTCCCAGCACGGAATTTCCTTTCCTGGAATTCTGTGTAGTGAATCTCATCCAAAGTCTTCCAATCATGGAAATGCATCCAGGTCAAAAACCAAACCTGAATGCCCATCAATGGTGCCATGCCAGCAAAACACAAGTCTTTCTTCAACAACTTCTTCAATATACCTGGGGACCTAACCAGAACACCAAACTTAACCGTAACCTAACCTTTCTAACCCCAAACTTAACCCAAACCTAACCCCCCACGCACAGTGAATACAGAAACAAGTTTCGGCAACCATCAACAAATCCATCACTCTGTGATGCGCCCAAAATGACGCGCCATCCATAGGCCGTGCAAGGAAATTTGTGAAGGAAGATCGCGGTTTCTTATGAACGAATTTTCCTCAATGGATTTTCCTGTAGAGAAAGAATGGATTATCATGGACGGATTTCTGTGGAGGAGAATACAATAAATTTCATGGATGGATTTACCTGTAAGGTAAAACCCGAAATTTTACTGGAACGAAATTGATGAAGGGAATTTCACTTACGATGTTTTTCATGGAGGAAAGAACTGAAAAAGTGAGTTCCTTGCAAGGAAATCCATGGACGATGAGGCATATTTCATAAGGAGAATTCGCTGGACGGGATTCCCCCATCAATTCCCCCATCATCCCCCATCACCCATTGCTCCAGCTTCTTGGGCGGTGGAATGGTCTGAAAAGGAATCTTTGATGGCATGTCACGAGTGCCTCTCAGATCTCAATCCCCATCCAAGTTATCGCGATAATGGCGGCTCCGGTGGATGCCCTAACACAAAACCAACCAAAAGTATGCTTCATAATTGTGGCGCCAAACTCGGTTGAATGAACTCTGCTAGAATTTTTGATCTCTTCAAGACCAAGTTCGCGTCGCCGGAAAAATTCTTGGCCGCAGCCAAAAAGTTTGGTCCCTGGCTCAACAACGAGAAGGCATATTATCCTGCAGCACGGACGGAGGTTCAGTCACCATGTGTTTCGCTTTGACTACCCCTGACAATTAATACATCCAGATTGTAGACATCCTCCTGGTACATCTTATCCCCCAGCTGGGTTGGACCTGGATTGATGAAGAGAATGTCATTATCAGATCGCAGAAAAAAACGCTCCGCGCAGCCGGCTTCGAACAGTACCAGGCGCTAGTCGATGCATATACTAAAATCATCGAGCGAATCATGCCCTTTCACGATAAATTCGTCGAACCGGATCTCCACGGTTGGTAAATTCATGGCGCGACCAGGGTGCCCAGAAACTAATGCGGTGATCCAGCTGCAGTCGGAAAACTCATAACGGACGTAAATCTACATAATCCACCTCCTGCAGCTCCTCCAAACCCTACCCCGTAAGTAGTTTTATGCTATTGGTCCTGTATTCAAAAGTGATCGATTTCAGCGACATCGACCATCCCGCTGCGCCTCCCCCAAGCGGTATTTCCCCAAGCCAACATATGCGCCCGAGTTCATCATCGTTGGCTTCTGCATTGGCACCAACGGTTTCCGGTACTCGTCGGCCAAGCAACAGCCAGACAAGCCTCCCTGTATCTTCCGTTAGTAAAATTCACGCATATCCCGCCGCTGCCGCCATAAATCTCGCTTGACAACCTATTAGGTTCCGCACCTTCCAGCTGTGCCAGCAACTGCTAACACGCCGGCGGCTGTTAAAAGTGGTTCGGCGCCTGCTCCGCCGACATCTGCTCCCAGGCCTAAACGTAAAAGGAAGAAAAACGACTTATCCGACCTCATCCAGGTCGACCTTCAGAACCGGAAGCGGAAAACAGGAACCATTCAGAATCCTGGAGAGGATGCTCAAACTCCCACCACCCCCACGGTTACTCTCAACGTTCCCGGAGTCTCAGATGTTTCTTCTTCCGTCATTTCCCCATCAGGAGAGAGCGCGTTAGCCACGAGTCCTCACGATGCCATGGATATGGATATTTCTGCGTCGGCCTCACCTGCTGCTCCAATACTCTCGGAGCGGAACGCATCATCCGGGCCCCCTCAAAGCCTCGTCACAGTCAAGGAGAATGCATCTGTTGATTCCGGCGCTGTCTATTCGAATGGTGTCGATGTGGTTATGAATGTACAGGAGCAATCCGAAGACATTAAAATGGACGATCAGACCCACCACGACGTTCTTCACGCTTCCGTACGTGACCTCTAGCTCTTGTTTCCCCATGAAGGTGAACAAATTCCTTTGGCAGCCTTTCGTCCCACATGTCCATAACACAGTAGGTCTTGGCTCGGTCATCCTTCGTATTCCTAAGATGCACATTCTAGACCCCTGAACCTCAAAATTCGGTACCAGGAGTCCTTTCTCCAGTATTGACCCCCGCGATGGATGTCGAGGTCAACCGGGTGTTGCGAACATTGACGCAGCCAGCACCATCCTCCGAGGCCATCGATGCTAATGGCCCAAGTGCCGATGCGATGCTCCCGACACCTCACGACACTGGCCGTTCTCCTCAATTTCACGTCACCGGGAGCCAACAAACTCAGCTAACATCAGAAGCAACAAAGGATACCCATAGCACTTCGATGGAGAGACTGAAGGACACCCAACTTGAAGCCGAGCGTGAAGATCGGCAACCCAGCCCCCAATTGAATACTCCGGCCGCGGTCCAGGCCATCTTCAAGACTATGGTGGACAACGTCAATAAACTCATCGCATCATCCACTGTAATTCTTCACCCTTTGGATTTGGACGTCTATATTCATTCCACTCTTAGGATATGTCGGATGTGTCAGTACCAGTGGAGGAACTACCTACGCCCCCTTCTAGTGAAAGATCTCCCCAGGCCGAAGATGCGAGGTCTTGGCCAATGGAGACGAGTTCCGAACACCCTGCAAACCTTCCGGTTTCCCATACTGGAGAAGGTATATACCTTGAGGACATTACTCCGTCGCCAAGTACGTTTGGCCATATCTGTGTGAGGCTGACTGATTTGTCGACAGAAACCGGCATCCAAGCCGCCACTGTCATTGCGCGCCATCGCGGGTTAACAAATGGTACGATCACGATAGATTTCTCTATCAACCCAAACCAGTTGGAATCCATCATGAAATGGAACAATCGCGCGAAACATCACGAGTTCGTCACTCTCCCGGCTGATATTTTCGTTCCTTGACGTTGAGTTTTATCAAGGGACATCGAAGAGAGTTTATGTATAACTCTGCTATGTTTTTCGTTGGCTGACATAAAAACGCGAATGGAGTCGTCGGAAAGTAAAGACTTTCGAAGCCTGCTTCCCGAACTCGAATGCTTGTGGCCCAAAACTGGTATGCTGTATTGTCTGTGCAAAGTAACTCCTTCTGTATATTCACGATCCTTTCGAGGTGGTTTGACCATGAATGCTTTATGGAACGGTCAGCGCATAAATTTTCCCTTGGCTCCGCCGTTTGCTGTGCGTAAGACAGTGATCCGCGTTCCTGGGTCCCCCCCCCGCTCACCAGCTTGTAGCTGCCATCGAATGGCTTTGTTGATGTGTCACCGTTTCTCGTATCAGGAAAAAATACTGTCTGTATCACACAGACACGGGACATGTCCAAGTACTGGATCATTCTCTGTGCCCACCATCCTACCACTTCCCAGATCCACACCGTTGCGCGGCGCCGCTACAAGGAGCGGAATTGGACTGGTTGGCTTGACAAAATTTCCCAGCCTTTGCAATTGCCGTTCAGGATCCCCATTGAAGTGTAGATCAGTTTGGACACCATCTTTGCACAGCCGCCATTGTATTTTAAAACACATCTATCGATTATGAATTGTATCGCTTGTTACACAAGAATATCTGACCTCAAAAATCCAAGTGCATATGATACCGATGCTCCATCAGTATTAACACATTTTACTTGTCGGCTTGTGCCCTTTTTCACTTGTTGCAAAAAAAACAAAAGCACAGAAACGATGCCTAGACGCCAATGCACGCCTCAAAAAAACTCATTATTTTCCGAACTTGTCGATTTTTCGACATAGCTTGTGAGCTTGTCAGCTTGGCCACTTTTATGCCTTGTACAAGCACGTACAAGCACTGCCAAGTAATCTGTCAAAAACGCGATGCTCGTAGCTTCGGCGCCTGGCTCAACCAAATTGCCAGTGAACACTTACAATAGGATATGGAAGGTTACGCAAATTTTGTCGGTTGCTTCGGTAAGAGAGCGACCCGTTTGACGTACAGTAGGATTAGATGCGGAATTCGACCCATCCTCTGGTGATCCTATAATTTCTGCTTTTTTAGGTCACGATTGGGAGCAGAACATTAGCAGAACCACAGGTTATGGTCACAACTAATAGGCGCCTATATCACAAACTGATAGGCGCTCAATGGCACAGTGCAGATAGTGTGGCTGGCTGCTGGCAGACTGGCAAAACTCTGCCACCTGGTTCTGCCAAACTGGCAATTGCCGGCAGTAGGTCGAGCGGGTAGGGCAGAACTTGGCAGAACTCAGGCGGTGCCGGCGAGCCGGAGGGGTGATGGGTGCTGATGCGAACATTCATGGCAGCAAGAATCGCCAG